GGAGACTCGGGTTCAAGTGTTGTGGACGAAAGAGGAAAAGCTCTTGGCATCCTTCATGCAGTATGGCTGACCAGCTCTGATAAACGCGCTATTGCTTCTCCTTACTTTGCAGTTTTTGAGGCATTGGATATTGAAGAATGCAAACTCGATTGATTGGTGTTTTGCAATAGTGATTTACAATTCATGTTTCTTTAAGACTGATTATTTTTTCAAGTAACCTTGATATGTAAGATACTTCAATAGTTTCTGTACTGCGCTAATCACATGACTTTGTAAACTCACATTCATATTCTTTACAATAATTTTTTTTTCAACGTTATTCTTTGTCATACAAAAAAAGCGAATTAAATAAGCACATATTCACTTTGGTACCACTTTGAAATAAAAAAGGCTTGATGTCACGAACATGGAATCAGTTATGCGCGTATTTTTCTTTTTCCGCCGGAAAAATTTAATCAATTGCTGCTCACTTTATGCTACTTTAAGACATCTTTCTCATTGAATCAATTGATGGAACACACGTGTAATCAGAAATTATTTATTATAGAAACTTCTTGCTATTTCATTCTACAGAAAGTGTCGAGCATAAATTCTCTGCTTTCACAGACAACCCAATTCTTCGTATAATAGATTTTTGCTGACTGAGGACATCATAATTTATGTATATTATAAAATATAGACCATATAGTCGCAAAGTGCCCTACTCTGCAAGTATATAAAATGGCTGTATTGCAAAATGGAATCAATAAATCTAATTGGATCTGGTGAAAATGCAAATGTGGTTGTCCAGATTTTGTTTTTTCTTCCTTGGCTGACTTTGCTGACATCATGCGAATCAAAAAAAAAAAATTTCTGGGCATGCTTGGCTTCGCCAAGGCAAGGAAATCATTTTAAATTCGTAACTTAGTATGCTGTATAAAGAAATCATGGCGAATTCTGAAGAAGCACATATCTAAGTACTAGAGATGCAATAATTAAGCATTTCTGATTCATTTATCAAATCACTGAAAGTTTCTAATTTTAAGCACTTAGTTGAAAATGTCAAACTTAAAATTTTTTCTAAGCTTGGATTTGAAAAATACAAAGTTAAACAAATTTTTAAAAAATGTAAAGTGATATATAAAAATTACAAAATTCAAACAATACATATAATATTTAACTAATAGCTATCATCAAACTTGAGCAATTCTTAGTGATATATAAAAATTACAAAATTCAAATAATACATATAATATTTAACTAATAGCTATCACTAAATTTGAGCAATTCTTAATGAACATTTGTATTCAGAAAAATTAAATTAATATCTTAAATCTATTGCTCAAAAAATATATGAAATCTTATGAAATTATATATTTTTAAAGATTATTTATTAATAATATTGATAATAATTTAACAATTGTTCAAAATAGAACAAACTAATAAATAACATATCAAATTAAAAATAAATTTTTGATTTTATGCTTTCACAAAGTATAAAAAATTTATTTACCTGAATCTGTAAACTATAATAAAAATATTAATTTATATTCAAAACAAGTTCAATTCTTCTTTACTTGTTTAACTAATTTACCAATTTATATAATATAATATTATATGATTTTATTTGATAGTTTAAAACTGTTAATTTGAAATATTGAATTTTATTTTGAATTTAAAAATAATATACTGTATATTAAATTATAAAGTCTTAAATTATATTTAATTAGATAAAAATATATAATCTTTAATTAAAATTTTTTGATTAAATTATTCTATTTAAATATAAAATCTCAAATCCAATAGATTTTTATAAATATTTAACCATTATTTTTAAATCAAAAAATATATTATATAAAATTTCTATAAAATAAATATATTCTATATACAGTTTATCTAAAAAGTCTTTGAACAAATTTTTAATTTATATTTTTATTTACAATTCAATAAATAATTAATAAAATAAAACAAAAATTTAAATATATTTTAATAAGAATATAAAAAAAAAATTTATTTAATAGGTTTTTATTAATATATTATTATTATTATTATTTTATAACAAGAGCAATTATTAATTATATTTTTTATTTATAAGAAATTACTTATTATTGGCAATATTACAAATATGTGAAGGCCAATATACATCTTTCTTTATTAAAAAGAATTTAATACAAAACTTAAAAAAATGATCTGTCTATCCTAGTTATTTTTTTTCAATAACTGTTCAAGCAGTAGCAAAAATATTTTTAAAATCTATACATCTTAGGCAGTGCCTAGTAAAGAACTAGAGGATTTGTGATACCCAATTACATGAAAATATTATAGTTAAATATATTGATTTGTCTTCAAGTCATAAGTGGAATTTGGCACACTTGCTTTTCAAAGTTGACTTAATATATGGCAGGTAGGTAGGAGAGAAAAAAATTGATTTTTTATATATAAAAATACTGCAGCTATTTTTTATAGGTTGGTTTTCAAGTCATGTAAAAAGTTTGGCATATTTATTTTTCAAATATGACAAGAGTATCCAATAAATAGAATTGTATTGGAATTTTTTAAAAACATTGTATCTAACCATACATATGGACCTATATTGTCAAGAGATGAGTAAGAAACTTCTTTTGTTAACACTAGCTCTGTTTGCAAGAGTAATTAGAATCTCTGATTATTATATGTTATCTTACTAGATATTTCAGATATTAGTATGTTACTTGTAGAATTCTATACTAATATTGACTATTATATGACTAGATATGGTAAGGTACAACTTTTTGGGGATTAATTATTAATATATTATTAAAATTTATTGAAATTTATTATTATATCAAAATAAAAAATTTTAAAATATAATTTAATTAAATTATAATAAAAAATAAACAAATTATTTAAAATAATTTTAATTTATCAATTTGTAAAATAAGAATAAAATTAATTAAAAATAACTTTTATTAAATTTTGAATTGCTTATCTGATTTTTTAATTAAAGAAATTTATTAAAATTTAATATAAAATATAAGATTTTTTAAAATTTATATTAAAAACAAAATTTAAAATTTTTTAAAAATTATTATTATTATTTTTATTATAAAAAGATATTAGATACAAAACTTTATTGATATATCTATAATATTCAAATTACATTAAATATTTTTACAAAGTAAATCTACAAATTAATTTTAATCTATTTACAATGCTAACTATTACTAACTTTGATATACTTAATGTGCTTTAGATTAGTTTTAGTACTGAATAGTTAATGCTTTTCCAAAGCTAATATACGAGTCTATCAAATTATATGAAGACACTATAGCCACAATTCTCAGGTTAACCTCCAAACTTATAACTTGAACTGGCACTTATTGATATATATTATTAGCGGGCAAATAGCTTCGGTAAGGCCTGGCGACGCGACATTCGCGTAACGCGCCTAATCGGAGTAACGGAAATGTCTTACAAATAGACTCAAGACATAATAAAAAGCTTAGATAGTTTATTTTATAGTCTGATAGTTTATGAGTCATAGCGAT